AGGACTCCATAGTTAGTAGTTTAACAACACAATTATTTAAGTGCAGCTCACATGTGCTTAACCATACTATTCTTGATAAACCTGTGCCTATATATGTACACATGTGCTTAAGCATATTATTCTTGACAATCCATACCATTGTCTTCCCATCTCCATAACTAGCCCTCCTTTCTGAAACCAAATCCCTTCTAGCAGCAAGAAAACCCTGACCCCCTTCTCAGAAAGAATGAACTGAGGAGAAGAAAAGAGAGTAGGATTAGAAGAAAGAAGATGGGCCTTACTGTGATAAGTGAAATCAACAGCTGAAAAAATTGTCATTTTGATCTCAAAGATTCACATCACTAGCCAAAAACTAGGAAACTAATTTTCGCTGTCTCTCCCAAAGCTCGTAAGCTAACAAATCAGAGGGTTCCATATGCACCTCTGCCCCCAGCCCCCTTATTTTTCAGTCGCAACTGGATGAACTAGAAAAATGGAAGGGTGAAGCAAATGTTGAAATAGACAGTAAGGCAGAAGAAAATAAGAATTGTGTATCACTGTCTCTGTCAGTGTCTCCTAAATATGTCAGCCCTTATGGTGTTATCTACTTCAAAACAGGAATGGTTAAGATTGACAAGATAGCATGAATTCATAATACTGTTTTACCAAATTCCTGCTTCTTATAACATGAAGATAAATTTTGTGAAAGATATGCCATCAGATATGTTGTTCAAGAGGAAGAAAACCAATGAACTTTTAAGTTTTAAAGATAAAGATGTCTTTGGATCTTAACTAGCGGTGAGACAGAGTAACAACTCACTTATTTCCATAGCCTTGTGTTATCAAACAAGTGCAGAAGCATTTCTCTCTCATGTTACCACCCGCTGGCTTATTGCTTTTTCATACCCACACAGATTAATAAATCATCATTAATGCACCCTGGTACCAATGTACCTAAATTTTGAATTATAATTATTTCCGCTTGCGAAACAAGGTAAATAGGAGATCGATAAGGTTAGACTAGATTAAGAGTTGCAAATAGCAATATCACATATTACTTCTCTAGACTGACTGAGAAGGAAGAGTTAATAAGTAATCTGGTTTCCTTTTTGGACAGAATAATGAGTTCAAGACCAGAGTTCAAATCTAGTGGGAGGAGAGGATATTATTTGTCGAATGAGTTTTCTACATCCAAGATCTACAGGTAAGGTTACATTTAGCTATTTGGGAGGGTCAAACTATGACGAGAAATAATATTGGTCAGGGGTTCAAATTAGAAAGAGGAGTGATCCAGTCAGATGGGTTAGAGCTCTCTCTCTCATATATTCCTTTCCCCAACCAATCTATTTGGCTCACCAAGCTTAATTTGAAGCCACACTGATCCAGATTCTGCTCTCTCATACAGAACTAAAATTTAAGTTCTCTTCATTCTCCTTATAGTCATCTAGCTTTCTTCTTGTCCTTTCTCCTTGGTGTTTACAAAGCATCAAAGGAGTTGCTACCAACAAAGTTTCAGAGATCAGCCCTAAGATTTGTTGAAATCATCAAGCAGCATGAGCATCAACTCTGCATAAACAGATGCTGGAGAGTGCAAAACTCTCTTGCATGGCTCGGAAAACTCCTTGCCGAGGGCTTGTGCACCCCTGAGGATTGGTCGGGCTTTGATCCGGACACCCTGGTGCCAATCAAAAAAAAAAAACTCTCTCGAATGGTTCATTAAACCCTGTTAGTAACATGAACCATAAAAAAGAAAAACAAAAGTGTAAGTTGAACGCAAAGGGACAGTACAAAGCTACAGCATATGCAGCCATTTGATGATCTAGTTAATGCTCAAATAAAAAAAAAAATGAAGTTTACCACTTAAAGCCATGAGGATTCTTTTTGTGATATCAAGCCATGATTATCGCAAACTTCAAGTTACATGCGATGATGAAGCATGTCAAAGTGCACTGTCAAGTTGCTGATGATATGACAATAAAAAATTAGAATGTCACAATTTTATTTGTTTATTTATTTAATTTTAATTGTTGAACTTGTCGCAATGCATGTTACGTCAAAAGCTAGACAATTGATAATTTTTAGGATAAACTACCAATAGGTCCTAATAGGTGGACTTAATTCCCATCAAGTCCTATTGAAAATAAGTTTTGAGAAAATTGTCGGTAAAAATAATTTTTTTGTGACAATTTTTTACATACGTCGCTAAAAATTGACAATTAGTGACTTTTTTTGTCACGATTTTTATAAATTGTCGCTAAAACTTACAATTAGTGACTTTTTTTTTGACAAATTTTTCTCATAGGACCTATTAAATAATTAATCCACTTATTGGGACCTACACGTAAGTACCCTAATTTTTAAAACTAGGCATGATAAAAATCAATTCTCCAGTGCAAGTTGCAACAGGAACTGTTGACAAATAATATAACTGAAAGAGTAAGACAATAATTTTCCCTATTCTATTGATAACACAAATTGAAAGGAGTAACAATTAAGAGTTAGGGTTCTTGATGGAGGCAAGTGGCAGCAGCCTACAAAAGACGAGGAAGAGATGCCTCTAAGCCCAAGCTTGGATTTGGCATGCATTGGATGATGAGCAACTCATTTGGGACCATGGATAGTTATGTTTTAGGCTTATGAGTCATGTTCTAGTATTATTATTATTATTTAGGGTATTTTGGTAATTTCATAATTTCTAGACATGGGTTAGGTCACCCATGGGTCATCTTGTGGGTCAAGTTATTTAATCAGGTTCTATTTATGTTTCATATTTGGTCTTACATTAGTTTTAAAAGTCAAAGATATTATAATAGTTTCCTTTTTTTGTTCTAATTGATTTAGGAAGTCTCTTAATTCTATATAAAGTCATGTAATGCTATTAATTTAATATAAACTTAATATTTTATAGAATTTTTAGAACTTTGAAGCTTTCGTATGGATTGTGTAATGCAATCAAACCCTAAGTGTGATGCCTAAGAGATTCTAGGAGTAATTCCTAGACCTATCTCCTTCTCCTCCTTTCTTTCTTTCTTAAATTTCAGCACTTTCAGCCCCAGAACAGCCCTTACAGCACTGTCCTGCATCAGTTCTATTCTAGTGTTACTAGAAAACATTGATAGCCTAGCAAATTACATTAAGCATGATACACTTTCGTTCCAAAACTATAAACTTAGCAATCCAAAGCGATCCCATAGGTTTTTCCCAATATATTTCCTTATAATTCCGTTACGAGTTTAAAAAATAAATAATAAATAAATAAAATATAATAAATTAAACTATAAGGTGGGTGAAATTTTGAAATGACAAAACGTCAAACATAGGTTATAATGCTCATAGAAATGTGTTGCTATATGATTATTTATTTATGTATTTATTTTTAAAAAAACTACATTTCATTAGATGTTTAAAAGTTAAAAAAAATTCTCTAGACTGAAGTACCTTAAATTCTTAGTGTAAAGGAGTCTACTCCTATCATATCACAATTTAGAGTATGTGACATACTGCGTTCCCCTTCCCCGTTCCAGATACCGGAGAGATCCACGTTCCAGTAAATATAGCTCTATTCCTTCTCTTTCTCTGTGTGTAAAAGGATGTCTCTCCACTCCAGTCTCCACATATTTATATATGGTTAATTAAGAAAGTATAAAGCTGAAAGCTGAAAGGGGTGTCTTGTGTAAAAGGAAAAATTGTAAGAATAACTCCTAGCAGTATTTCCACTTAGGCAAAAGCCACTGCCACCATCTACATCTACATCTACACCTAGATCTACATCTACATCTAGATCTACATCTACATCTACATCTTCAAGCAATCAACATAGTATAATAATCCATATAAAAAGCCATTTAAAACTTAAAATAAAAGCTCTAATCATGAATTAATCATAAATCACACACAAACAATTCAAACTCGGCTAATTAAATGAAAAACAGTCAAGAAAAGGAGAAACAGAAACAACAGAAAGATACCTGAATCACCAGAGACGAGATAGAGAAAATCAATTGCAGAAGAAATTAATGATCTCCCAATATTAAACAAAAGCTGAGATTAAATACACAGAGAGAGAGAGAGATCCATAGCCGAGCGCGGGAGTGAGCTCACGGTAGAGAAAGATGGAGCAATGAGTCACATAGGGGAAAACAATTTTACATACATTATACATACATACTTGTAGATTATATATGTCATACATTATACATACATACTTGTAGATTTTATATGTGGCTGCGTAAAATGTAGATTAAATTTTAGGGCATGGCTTCTGTCGAGTCTAGGATCGGATTGGATCGTACTGTTGGGTTCGTGGGGGTTCACCATAGATGTTGATAGTTATATGATCAAATCAGTTTCATATTAAAAAAATTGAACGGTAAACAAATTAACGGGACCCGTGGTGGCTCCACAGGCCCAACAGCACAGTCCAGTTTCGTATTGATAGCTATCTACACATTAAACGGTTCAGATTATCAAAACGGGACCCATGGTGGCCCCCACGGGCCCAACAGCACGGTCCAGTCTGATCCCGGACTGAACAAAAGCCATACCCTAAATTTTATATACGTGGCTGCGTAAAATGTTGTATAATTGTAAAATTCGTACGGATTGATATCACTTTATTTAATAATTGTATGTTAAATTTTAAATTTATAATTCATTTTTCAAAATGTCGGGGCTTTTATCAAAATAAGGTAAAATATCAAGTTATTTTTTAAATTAGGCCTAGTTTGGACGGATTTTTCAAAATAAGCTAAAACGTTATTACAAACCACACTTCCACCTTTTTGTGGCACAATCGCGAAAGATTTGTAAAATCGTAAAGCGTGGTTACAAACCACGCATTTAATTAAGAAAATGTAGTTACAAACCACGCTTTTAAGAAAATCTTTTTTTGAAAAAAAAACGTGATTAAAAACCACGGTTTTAAATAAAATTATTTTTTGAGCAAAATGTAAAACAAATAGGGAGGTAGCTCAAATGGTAGTGTACTCCTTTCCATGGGAGAGGTACGGGGTTTAATCCTCCACATTTCCAAACTCCTGTTTTTTCTCAAATTCAATTCAATTTTTTTTTTCCTTCCACTTACTTTATACTTTATATATTTATTATGTAATTTTTTTTATCAAAAAAAGTAAAACATTTGTTTGGTTAACTAATATTTATAATAAAAATTATATTTAAAATAAAAAATTAAATTTTTTAATATTTAAAATATTAAAAAAATATAATACATAAATATATGAAATATAATGCACATTAAAATAAATAAATAAATATTTATGTGTTATATTTTTTTAATATTTTAAATATTAAAAAATTTTATTTTCTTATTTTAAATATATAATTTTTATTATAAATATATAATTTTATTTTATAAATATATTTTTAAATTTTTTATTTTTTTTATTATGTGTTTGGTTACGATTTGGTTACGATGGTGACAAAATATTTTATTGTAACTGATAATACAGTTTATTCCAGTGAATGGATCAGACTGGTCCAAACTCCTCAAGCCCAAGTCCAAATGAGCAAACCCACCGGATAACCTGCAAACAAGTTCAACGGGGAACGGGGTAGTCTCCCGGGAAACCCTCCGACAAGCAAGTTAGGAAAAGAAGTGGAGTATAAAGGGAGAGATTAGAGATAAAAAGTTTAACATTCTTCTTGTCTTCAACGTTTGCTTATATCCTTTGGTAATCATTTCGCTGTCCCTTCCGACCTGCCCTCCTCGCCGAAAGCCTATGCTGTAGCTTACCTTGTTCAGGGTAAGGGAGTCCTGTTCCGACGGAGAGGTGTTATCGTAATAAATGCTGTGATGGGTTGCATTAATGGTGATGTGCAGTGGCAATAACTTTGCAGATCTTTGTCTGCTGATGTGGCTCGTCCTTCTCTTGCCGTGCGTCTGAATGTCATTGGCTCTTTATGCCATGTTGGACTCCAGCATTATTATTATTTAGGGTATTTTGGTAATTTCATAATTTCTAGACATGGGTTAGGTCACCCATGGGTCATCTTGTGGGTCAAGTTATTTAATCAGTTCTATTAATGTTTCATATTTGGTCTTTACATTAGTTTTTAAAAGTCAAAGATATTAATATGTTTCCTTTTTTGTTCTAATTGATTTAGGAAGTCTCTTAATTCTATATAAAGTCATGTAATGCTATTAATTTAATATAAACTTAATATTTTATAGAATTTTAGAACTTTGAAGCTTTCGTATGGATTGTGTAATGCAATCAAACCCTAAGTGTGATGCCTAAGAGATTCTAGGAGTAATTCCTAGACCTATCTCTTCTCCTCCTTTCTTTCTTTTCTTAAATTTCAGCACTTTCAGCCCCAGAACAGCCTTACAGCATGTCCTGCATCAGTTCTATTCTAGTGTTACTAGAAACATTGATAGCCTAGCAAATACATTAAGCATGATACACCTTTCATTCCAAAACTATAAACTTAGCAATCCAACACGATCCCATAGGTTTTTTCCCAATAATTTCCTATAATTCCGTTAAAGTAAAAAATAAATAATAAATAAATAAAATATAAAATTAAACATAAGGTGGGTGAAATTTTGAAATGACAAAACGTCAAACATAGGTTATAATGCTATTGAAATGTGTTGCTATATTGATTATTTATTTATTTATTTTTAAAAAACTACATTATCAGATGTTTAAAACTTAAAAGTTAAAAAAATTTCTCTAGACTGAAGTACCTAAATTCTTAGTGTAAAGGAAGTCTACTCCTGTCATATCACAATCTAGAGTATGTGACATACTGCGTTCCCCTTCCCATTCCAGATACCGGAGAGATCCACGTTCCAGTAAATATAGCTTCTATTCCTTCTCTTTCTCTGTGTGTAAAAGGATGTCTCTCCACTCCAGTCTCCACATATTTATATATGGTTAATTAAGAATATAAAGCTGAAAGCTGAAAGGGGTGTCTTGTGTAAAAGGAAAATATGTAAGAATAACTCCTAGCGTATTTCCACTTAGGCAAAAGCACCTGCCACCATCTACATCTACATCTACACCTAGATCTACATCTACATCTAGATCTACATCTACATCTAACATCTTCAAGCAATCAACATAGTAAATAATCCATATAAAAAGCCATTTAAAACTTAAAATAAAAGCTCTAATCATGATTAATCATAAATCACACCACAAACAATTCAAACTCGGCTAATTAATGAAAAACAGTCAAGAAAAGGAGAAACAGAAACAACAGAAAGATACCTGAATCACCAGAGACGAGATAGAAGAAAATCAATTGCAGAAGAAATTAATGATCTCCAATATTAAACAAAAGCTGAGATTAAATACACAGAGAGAGAGAGAGATCATAGCCGAGCGCGGGAGTGAGCTCACGGTAGAGAAAGATGGGCAATGAGTCACATAGGGGAAAACAATTTTACATACATTATACATACATACTTGTAGATTTAATTGTGGGCTGCGTAAAATGTAGATTAAAATTTTATATATGTGGCTGCGTAAAGAGTTGTGTAATTGTAAAATTCGTACGGATCGATATCACTTTATTTTAGGGCTGTTCGCGGGTCGGTTTTGGCCGGGTGCGGGTCAAAACCGACCCGACCCGCACTTATGCGGTTGGGAAAAATGGACCCGCAACCGCCCGCAATGCGGTTCGCGGTTTGTGCGGGCGGGTGCGGTTCGGTTTGCGGTTTTTTTTTTTTTTTTTTTAACTTAAGCAAATTGACATTTTTTGTTACTTTCTAAACACTTTTTTTTTTAGAAGAGTTATAAATTAAATTACAAGATTACAATTCATGATCATAATAAATAGTCCACATGTTAGATTAGATGATATGGGACCATGCTTGAGGATAGTAATTAATCTTCCTCCTTAGCTTGCAAAAACAAACCTTAAAAGTCAAACTAGTAACACTAATTTAAATATGCAAAAATAAACCCTTAAAAGTCAAACTAGTAACACTAATTTTAAATGTGATTAATCTTCACTGTTTAGCTTTTAATATGCAATAATGTGATAATAGAATGACAATTCAAAATATCATATTTAACTGTGTCTACTAGCCTAATGGAATATAATGATTTTTTTTTTATATGTATAATAAAAGTAAAACTCGTAACACTAATTTAAATATCATTAGATCATGATAATGTATATAAGTGCCCATATAATAAATTTTACTTTCATCCAAAGTAAAAAATAAAAATAATAACTAGTTATCTCCATCCATCCAAAAGGCAAAATAATAATAATAACTTGTTATTTTTTCTTTAAAAAAAAAACTGCGGTTGCGGCGGGTCGGGTTGACCCGAACCCGATCTTTTGCCAATTTCTTGACCCGCACCCGCCCGCCTACCTACATCGAAACCGCCCAAAACACTGCGGGTAGGGTAGGGTCGGGCGGTTTGTGCGGCGGTGGGTTTGTTGCCAGCCCTACTTTATTTAATAATTGTAGGTTAAATTTAAAATTTATAATGTATTTTTCAAAACGTCGGGGCTTTTCTCAAAAATAAAGTAAAATATCAAGTTATTTTTTAAATTAGGTTTGTTTGGAGAAATTTTTCAAAATAAGTTAAACACTATTACAAATCACCGCTATTACAAACTACGCTTTCACCCATTTTCGGCCCAGCCGGAAAGATTTGTAAAATCGTAAAACATGGTTACAAACCACGCTTTAATTAAGAAAATGTGGTTACAAAACTACGCTTTTAAGAAAATCTTTTTTTGAAAGAAAACGTGATTAAAAACCACGCTTTTATAAATTGTTTTCTGAGCAAAATATAAACAAGTAGGGAGGTAGCTCAAATGATAGTGTACTCCTTTCCATGGGAGAGGTACGGGGTTTAATCCTCCACATTTCCAAACTCCTGCTTTTTTCCCAAATTCAATTCAATTTTTTTTTCCCTTCGACTTACTCTATACTTTATATATTATTATGTAATTTTTTTAATAAAATAAAATAATATTTACAAAAAATAAAAAATAATAAAATAATAAAAATTATATATTTTAATAAAAATATTTAAAAATAAAATAAAATATTTATTTTCTTATTTTAAATATATAATTTTGTTATTTAAATATTTTATTTTATTTTGTAAATATTTTTATTTTTTTATTTTAATATTTTAAACTCAAAACATATTTCCACACTCATATCATAACCAAACACATAACTCAAAACTCAATTAA